AAATTAGTCAAGAAAATGAAATAGGGAGTAGAAGAGGTAGGGATTCGAAAGATATGGGACAAGAAGGTTTGGGGGCGGGTCCCCCCCACAAATATGCTTGGCTTGGTATACATACATATATATACAGATTTACATAAATGTATATATACATATATAATTTTAGAGTAGGCTCATTGACCAACCTGAGCCCAACCCAAGTGCATCAAACTATAGTGCGGGCTGGGCTCAGATTGGGAAGATTAGGCTTGGTCTGGGGTCGGGCCTTAAGCCCAAATTTTAGGGTAAGGTCTGGGTTGACCATAAACCCAATCCAACCCATGCCCGCCCAACTTGCACCCCTAGGGATGGGATGGGGGATGAGCTACCCCCGTTGTGTAGACTCCATGAAGCAAAGAGGCAAAAAAAAAGGAAAAAGAAAAAAGAAAAAAGAAAGATGATAAATAAAGACAAATCTAATATTATATATTTACTAATAATAAATATCTCACTGTAAACAAGAGAGTTTTCTTCAATACAGTTATACTTTACCTTCTCTCAAAAAAATAAATATATATGTTAAAAATGGAATAAAATAAAAATTTAAAACCATATAGGAAAAAAAAATGTTTCCTCATTTCAGGTAGTGAGTTTGTGGTTCAATTGTCTAGTTTTGATAGGTCAATCCAATATGTCAAAATTAAATAATAAAGTTTTTGACAATAGATCGAAAGATAAAGAGTTTTAGTGGTTCAACCATCCAAGTCAAAACGTCTATCCATGATTTCATAATTAAATAATAAAAAAGTAAAAATAGATAGAAATACAAAAATATAGAAATTTAAAAAAAAATGGTCACATCATTATTATTATATATTCATCATATTATGCAAACATTAGTGTGATAAATATGAATTATTTTATCAATGAAGGAAATGCAATGCAAATTCTAAAATTAACTAAAAAATGAAATTGATCTTTCATGGTTAAACCATCTATGCCAAATAGGTCAACCCATGGTGTCATAGAAAAAAATAAAACTTAAAAAATATAAAAATATAAAAAATAAAAAATAATGTAGAAAACCATGGCATATCTCCAATATCATATAACCATCATATTAAACAAGATAAGTGTAATAAATAAGAATTTTTTTATCGATGATGGAAATGAAATGGAAAATTTAAAATTGATGTGGAAACAACTGTTTTTTGATTTAGGTGGCAAGCCAACAATTCAATCTAGGTCAGCCCATGATGTCATAATTAAATGTAAAATTTTAAAATTAGATAAAAATATTAAAATAAAAAAAAAACAAAATATTGTTAAAAAAATGCAGGAACATCTCTAATATTATCTGCTCATCATATTAACAAAAATAAGTATGACAAATAATAAAGAAGTATATTTATCAACAATGGAAATGAAATATCAAATTTAAAACTRACCCAAAAATAAAGCCACTTTTCCATTTAAGTGGTAGGTTAGCAATTCAACAATCTAGGTTAATGGGTTAAAACATAAAATCATAATTAAATTAAAAAAATAATTGTTTGGGCTTTTTACAAAAAAAAAATGAAGTTTCATTTATATATAAAATCAGTGATGTTTTAGAAAAAAAATGTTGAAATCCATGATTTTAGAAAATAAAGTTTATTATTGGACAAAATTGCCCATTTCCTCCTCGAAGATTTTTGGGTTATGCTCCACCATCATCATGGATTAAGAACTTCCTCTGACAAAGAAACATTGGGAAGTCAGAACCAAGACTCCTTAGGCCATGTTTGGAACCAATGTCATTTCCTTGAAAAAGTGATGCCACATCAGAACCAATACCAAAGTTTTTTTTTTTATATATCTTTTGAAGGGCTACACAATGGCGGAGTTAGCCATCCCCTAACCCAGGTGCAGGTGGGATTTGATCCCAAGTATCCACTACGACCAGCAAGACACCTTACCAACCAGCTGGTTGACACCTTGCTACTATACCTGCCAAAATTGAAAAGACTCTAGATGATTTTATTTTATTTGTATTCTTATATAATTCTTCTCAATTATCATTTCAGGTTCTCCCTTTTTATCTTCCACTAAAATAGAGCTTGCATTGGTTTTGTATAATCCATTAATACTTCTCAATCAGAATTTGTACATAGGTTTCACTGATTTTACGACCCGGCGGTGAGCCTCTCTTGGTTTTGCGATTTGAGGGCAAGAAATGAGTCCTTTAATCTATAGAACAGCTTCAATGTCTCTCAAGTTCCTTCAGGAGGCCCACAAATCCAGACTTTATATGAAAAATAATGAAAGAAGCTAGAAAGATAAGGTAGTGGAGAAGATTAAAATCTTAGGCAATGCAAAAATTCAACTTTTATAGCAGAAATCATGAAATGTCAGAAAAGCAAATAAAGGATAATTAAAATCAGTGGAGGGTGATTTTAAGTTTTGGTTCCCGGTGATGGTGATGATGCATGATCCAGAAATCTTCGATGACAGATTGGTGAACACCAATTTTTTAGTGCACAAAAGAAAAGGAGAAAAAAAGGGCAACTTTGTCCAGAAAAAAGCTTTACATTTTGCACTCTCTGATTTGAATTTTTTTTTTTTCAAATTGCGACCGATTTTGTCAATTAATTAAACTTCATTCTTTTTCTTTGTAAAAAGCCCAATCTTTTTACACCCTTAATATTATATATTATTGTAATAAACAAAAATGTGATAAATAATAATTTTTTATAAATAAAATAAATGGAACACAAAACTTAAAAATTTAAATAACATATAGAAAAAATGGAATTGTTTTTCCATCTAGTTAGCTAGAAAATCGGTGGTTTAACCATATTAAAAATTTAAGAAACAAATAAAAGATAAAATTTGTAGAAAAAATTTGACTATTTATGATATTATATATTCATCACATTAGAGAAAATAAGTGTGACAAATAAGAATTATTTTTATTAACTATGAAGATGAAATAAAAAATTAGAATTTATTGGAATGAGAACAATTTTTTCGTCCAAGTGCCGTGTCAATGGTTTAATCATCCAGGTTAAATGGGTTGGTTCATGATGTCACAATTAAAAATGAAAATGTGAGAGAAAATAGTTAGAAATGAAAATTGTTACAAAAAATATAAAACTTTTATAGAAAAAATTAGGCATAACTCTAATATTATATATTTATCAAAACAAAAATATGTTTAATAAATAAGATTTGTTGTAATTAATGATGAAAATGAATAAAAAACAAGAAATTAGAAAGGGAATTAATTCAGCTCACTGGGTTGTTGACCAAGCTAACATTTTTTTTTTGCAACAAAGTTATTTAAATTGAATGTCTTAGGAACCTGTTGATGAGTTAATGAAAGTGTTATTGATCAAAAAAAAAAAAAGTCTTAGGAACCTGTTTGTGTGATAGGTCAATCAATCTGACTATTAGGTTCAACTACATGTTAAAATTGCCATGCACAGCCAGTGTGGATAACGAATCTACCACCAATTATCATTTTTATCATCATCATCATTATCATCTAAAACTGTCATGTGCACATTTTCTAGTTGTTTATGTGAAGAAAAAATTTTAGTTGTTCGCATTCAACAGCCTTGTACTGTGTCTTCAAGGCTCTTCTGTAAGACACGTCAGTCCATATGAACTCCATATAATAGTAATAATGCTTGAGCCATGATTGCATGAACTAATGTGTGAGGTGGATAAAATTGTAGACAACATAAGACTGTCCAAGATAGATAGCCAAAGTTTTCTTGGGGTGGGAAGGATTTGTAAGATGTATTTTGTAATGCCTCGTTTTGAAAAACCAGAACCAATCCAATCGATTTGGGTCCATGGGCTTGGATCGAACCCAACCCATTGATAGCCCTAAGGTTAAGTTGGGCCTCGGCAGCCTTAAACAACGTTAATACATTGTCAAAGCTCAACTTGGGACCAACCCATGATCATCCCATATATATTGGCAAGTCCATCATGCCAAGAAGGTATAAACATCAAAAGAGCTTTAAACAATC